GCTTTATAAAAAATAAAATTATTGTTGACTGACAAGATTGCCAGAGGCTCACCCACCATAGCAACAAGTAATGTATGCAAAATGAATGCCATCCAGTTTGCATAGCAGGTGAATAAAAAAGCTGTGAACAAAGGGTTCAGGGGAGAAACATCCACATAGACATACATTTTTAAACAGGCCTATTTAGCCACACTCTAATATATATAAATATTTGCTAACGAAGTCTGAAAAAGGGTCCTTTATTAGATGGATCTTCCCTAGTTAGCTCTCAGAATTATGACTTTCATTAATCTCTATCATGAGGTATACAAATTTCCACCCACCTGTGTATCTGATGACGAACGCCAACGATTGAGATTTCCCTAGTCTTCCAGCCTGTGAAATCGTCACGTAAATTACTGAGAATTCTGCATCGTCCTCGCTAGGAGTCATTGATAGCAATAAGTTATGTCTCATGTGGCTGTGAATATCCTTCAGAGAAAGTAGCTGTGGGCAAAAAAATATATAAAAAATATCTGTATTAAAGATCACCCAGGGGAGTTCAGCAAAAGTGGTCTTTACGAGCAGGCAGTCGTTATGGACAGGTTTCTATAATATATGGTTCGATGACAACACAATTCAAGGGGAACCAGAAAAGTGTCCTTAAATGTAATTTATTATTATTATACACATGTGATCGTTCAATGCAGGTTGAAGCTTAAAGCATATTTTACTGTATTTTATTTTATGCAGTTAGCTATGACATTTAAAGGAAACATTTGAAGGGAAAAGAGTCTGTTAAAGGTTTGAAAAAGACGGTTGGGTGCTATCAAAGGGGAACAGATATTACCGAGCATTCATCGATTTTTTTTTCATATGAAAGGGAACAATTAAAGTTTTACATTAAAATGTATCTTTAAGCAACAATGAAAAACAGGACTTCTCATGTGACTATTTTAATAATAATAATAATAATAATGAACATTTGTATAGCGCCTTTTCTACAAGTAGATACAAAGCGCTTAATTAACATATACAATGAACAATTAACAAAATAGAAAGATGCTTAACAACAGACATGTATGTAACAATATAGGAATGAACAAAATAAAGGGTAAGACAGGTAATAGAAGAGCAAGAACAAGTGCTGGTAAGCGGGCATTAGTTAAACAAGTGTGTTTTGAGGTGTTTTTTGAAAGTCATTAGAGAATCAGCAGTTTGTACAAAATTGGGGAGATTGTTCCATGATTTTGGAGCAGTGGCTATGAATGCCCGCTTACCAGCATTGGTTCGACACCTTGGGGTATCTAAAACTGTACGAGTGTTGGATCTTAGGTTGTAACTGGGGTGCCTAACATGAACGAGATCAGTAAGATATGAGGGAGAGAGATAGTGTAACGACTTAAAGACAAGGGTGGAGGTCTTGAAGAGCACTCGCTGTTGAATAGGAAGCCAATGCAGAGAGTTCAACAAGGGCGTGGTGTGTGTGCTCTTTGGTTGTTTGAAGATGAGGCGTGCAGACTGGTTCTGGAGAAGCTGAAGACGGTGAATGTTCTTTGCTGTTGTGCCACTCAACAAACTGTTACAGTAATCAAGACGAGATAAAACTAAGGCACGGACTGCAGCATGAGTGGTACTTTCGTCAAGATATTTTCTAATCCTGCATAAGTTCCGGATATGATATTTGACAGTCCTGACTACATTTGAGACGTGAACATCTGGCAGCATGAGGTTGTCAAAGACGACGCCAAGAATACGCAGCTTCTTTGACGGTTTAATCACAGTCCCATCATGAAGAGTTAGAGTGAAGTTCTGGAGCAATCGTTGATGGACTTTCGAAGCAAAGACTACTAACTCAGTTTTGTCTTGATTAAGTTTCAATTTGTTGGATGTCATCCACCTGTAGACATCTCTCATTGCATCCCGTAGTCTGCATGCAGCATGATCAACAGAGTCCTGGCTAGAAGGGTCGCATTGTATATACACCTGTATATCGTCGGCGTATACATGATAGCCTATGCCATGACTGTAAAGGATATCAGATACAGGTTTCGAGTAGAGCGTAAAGAGCAGCGGGCCCATCACCGATCCTTGCGGGACACCGAACTCCAACCTGGTGTCTAGTGATTTCACTCCTCTGATTCGCACATGTGATAGTCGGTTGCTCAGGTATGATCTAAACCAGTGCAGTGCTGTGCCAGAGACACCATATTCATCCCGAAGCCTTGTCAGCAAGATCGTGTGGTCAAGAGTGTCAAATGCAGATGACATATCTAGCGACAGTAGAATGACGCATTTCCGATCATCCAGAGCACATAGGATATCATTCTGAAGACTCACCAATGCAGTCTCAGTACTGTGATTTTTCCTATATGCAGACTGTTTAGGATCACCAAGGCTGTTGTCTTCCAAGTAGTTGGCTAACTGTGATGAGACGACTCTTTCCATAAGCTTGGCTACAAACCTTATGTTCGAAATGGGCCTGTAGTTTTTCATTCTTTCTTTGTCAAGTCCTGGCTTCTTCAAGACTGGTGTCATAGATGCAACACCTAGAGATGATGGAAAATCGCCTGATGCCAACGATGCGTTGATGATATGCGTCAGCTTTGGCAGCAAAACAGGAAGGTGACGCTTCAGGAGCCACGTTGGAAGAGGATCCAAAGGACATGTCTTGTTGGGTGAGCGTTTGATCAGCCTCTGAACCTCCTCTGATGTGACGAACTGGAACTCCACGAATGAAGGGGCTGAGATTGCCATACCATTTGGATTGTCCAATTCGTCAACGTTTAAGTCATCTATACATCTCCGCAAGTCTCTGATCTTCTCACTGAAGAATGTGCAGAATGTAGAGGCAAGCTCAACTGATGAATCAGCATCTGGGAGAAATCGTTTACTCTTATTCAGAAGATGCTTCAGTTCTCTAAACATGTCCTTTGGAGTACTTTCAGAAAACAGGTCATTGTAGTAGAACCGTTTAGCCCTTGACAGAGCTTCAGCTGCAGCAGCTTTAGCTTCACAGTAGGCCGATCGATCGCTATCGGGATTGACTTTAAGGGATTTACGCCATTTCCGCTCCTGTCTTCTGCGTTCACGTCTTGCAGCATCAACTTCTTCGTTGTACCACTTTGGCCTGTGACGAACTTGCGTGGTGCGGAGACATACAGGCGCATGGATATCCAGGACACGCTCCATGTCTCTGTCAAGATTGAGCACGCAACTGTTTACATCCTCCGCCAAGGGTTGATTGTCAAGGAAACTGGCAAGATCATCGGCAAACAACGTGTGATCAATGTTGCTGAATTTGCGATATTCCTGTGGCCGTTCATCTGTAGATGGTCTTTCACCACGGATCATGCAGCTCACGGCTACATGGTCGGACATGAGGCTCGGATCTGTACGTATGGAACAGAGAAGATTCTCATCTTCCCTCGCAATCACTACATCCAATGTATGGCCGTGTCGATGAGTTGGCTTTGATATGTACTGCTTGAGTCCTGCGGATTTCAGCGTATCTACAACGCGTGCGACATTAGGTCTCTCGGGACAGTCATAATGGACATTCAAATCACCTAAAAGCAGTAGCTTCCCAGGAGTCTGATTCATGTCATCGATGAAGCTGTCAAATTCTTCGAGGAACGTAGATGTTTTCAGACCATTCGTGCTGGATGGTGGTGGACGGTACACAGCAACATAGTTCACCGAACGAGCTTTGTCTGTAATAATGCAGTGCTCAAATGTTGTAAAATGAGGATCAATAGTCACTTGATGTAGTTTCAGATCAGACCTGACCAGAGCACCAACACCTCCGCCACGACCGCCAGTGCGTGGAACATTGGTGAAAGTATAACCAGGTGGTGTTACCTCAGCAATTACAGCGTCATCATTTTCAGTCAGCCATGTCTCTGTGACAAACATTACATCAACTTCGTTGGTGATGACATAGTCTTGAAGAAGAAGAGATTTATGTCTCAGTGAGCGAGCATTCCAGTGACATACATGCTGTAATGTTTCATTTCCGACATTTGCATCAATAACAACATTGGAAGAGTCAATTCCCGTTGACCTCACTAGTTGTTTCCTTCTTGCTCTGTTACCAGCTCGGCAACCTCGATACCTCAGAATGCCATTTTCCTTCAGTAGGGATAGTACATCTGCTGATTGTGTGACCTTAGCACATCTTGAATGTCTCAATGCAATCAGGCTGGACCTTGAATACCGGAGACCATGAATGGGCTTTGTCTCCATTGTTGAAGGGCTTTGATGCACGGTCCAGTGTCTAGACATTTCACGGTTCAGACATAAGACTCTAAAATGGTCAAAGTCTTTGTCAATGTTGCTATTCAAAATGCAGTCCTTTGAACCTCCGCATAATAGGTGCTCTGTACTGTAGCTTAACACTGCTAGCAGTACAAGTGAAAGTGCAGCAAAATCAGTCGAAAACATATCCTAAAATCTCGCTTTAATCATTCATGAAAAACCACTCAAACACTGTCCAGTAGGATGACAAGGTCCCAAAATGAATGTTGATATAAAAATTGAAGGCAATAGTAGTCAGGAAACACATATAGTAACACAAAATCAGGAGAGCATCCTGAGAGTGGCAGCAGTAGTAAACAGCGCCTTCAACTCATTTTCTTTATAATCAAAGTGATATTAATGCAGAAAAATAGAGTGAAACCTGCTTTAGCAACCAACTGTACATTTAAAGACCATATTTCCTGTTTGTTTCCCTTGAATGGCGTTTGTCATTGTGTCCTAAAGAAATATGTACATAAAGACCATCTGCTTTTCTGTCTCCCTTGAACAGTCCTAATACAGTGGAACCTGTACATACAAACTATTCAAAGGACACAAGAAAAGTGGTCTACAATGGCAGATGGTCTTAACAGATAGGTTGCTTTAGGACAGGTTTCAATAAGAAATAAATTTATGGGAAACACCACATATGGTCGTTATAGGCAGGAAGGCTTTCTATACAGGTTTTACTGTTTTACTGTTTTACTGTTTTGGCAGATGTGTTTTCATACCTCAGTGTTGCTCATCTTGCCTTCACCATCACAAGTCACTGAAATGTCACCGGATTTAGCTTCGATAGAGATCGGAAAGGAGCGATGTGCATTGTGGTATGAACTCTGCTTCTCTTCCCTTTGTACTTCCTATTTAAAAAAAAAGAAGCAGAACACAAGAATTCACCTACAGCTGAATCGTATCTATAAACTCTTTTAGGACAGGGATATAGCTACGGAGACAGATCTTTCGCCAAAGCGGCACCCGTTCTCTGGAACTCACTTCCTCTTATCTGAGGAAATTGGATTCCGTTAAACAATTCTGGAAACAGCTGGAAATGTATCTGTTTATCTAAAATTGGACTTTCTCTACCCCTAGATTTAATTAATTGTTTCCGATGCGGTTTGTTATAAAAACATATATATATATAATAAATATTATTTTTGAAGGGCTAAACTTGTCACACATTGTTCTTCAATTGGGCAACAGCAGTCCGTTAATGAAATATATATATATATATATATATATATATATATATATTCTATTTCAGTTTCTACTATAGTTATATGTAATATATGTAATATCTACAATCTACATGTATGTACCCAATGTATCTATATGCATTTTTATAATTATGGTGGGCCAATTACATTTGCTCCGCTGACAATTGGTCCAGGATATATCCAAAAGTCTGGAAGCCCATGTGTAGGAGAGTCACACTCTTTGCAACCTAGTTTGTACTGTCGCAAGGGTAGGGTGTAAATCTGTTTTTTAGTGTGCTTGCAAATGGCAGCAATACACAAGTGGTAATCTCTTATACAGATCCTAGTGACAGGCTGTATAGACCCTTTTAAACATTATAAGAAAATGGGTAAGAAAAAAGGGTAAAATGGGGTTGCCCATATAGGTCACAGGTGAATCTTCAGTGCAAACTTATATGGGCCCATATGGGAATTCCAAAGAGGGGACTATATAGGAACCCCCACCTTCTGATGCCCATATGGGATAGTGCACATCATGTCCACAATTTTCCCAAACAAGATGGGCCCTGAGACGAACCCATATGGGCCACCTGGGAGGGTCCACATGTGTCCATACGAATCTTGGGTGGAATATCATATATGGAGTCTATATATGGGCAGACCCATGTGGGACCCATATTGAAACCCAAGGTACATGTGACCCATATGAGCATGCTCCCTGGGAAGAGATCTAAAGGGAGTGAGAGAGAATAAAAGTGAACTGAGTTGAACCGAACTCTTTCTAACCATTTCTATGCCCGGGATATCTGCATTCAGGTGGAGATGAACATCAAACTCTTTGCCTCGTTCAATCTTGTCCGGTACGTATGGGGTACACATGAATTGAAGCTGGATGATCTGTTGCTCAAGAGGGATAAGAACCCACCACTCGGCACAGTGATCGATGTGCAACTCAAGATGTCTCTCCAAGATTTTGCAGTACGGCAATTTGTCAGGTGCAGCAGATGATTTTGTCCTCGAAACTCTTGGTAAACCTATGATTAAAGCCACAATGTCAAGTATTCTTTAATAAGCATTTAAGCAACACGAAGCTAGGCATAGCCCTATTATGAAAAAAAATTCCTGTTTGAAAGGATGATGAATTTAAAGATAAAGTTAAGTACTAGTCATACAATTACATTGTGAAAGAAACTGTCTGAAAGCAACTGGAAAAGGTAGTTTATGATGTTTATAAAAACTAATGTGCCTTGTGACGTTTTTCATTGATTTACATGAAAAGAAATTGACTCAGTTTTCCATAAGATTACATGCACCACACACAGACAATGTGTACACGGTATTAAACACAGGTGTTTGGACCAAACGTTATAGCTATTTATTACAATATTTTGAATAAGAAAGCATTTTAATAGCAATCATTTTCAGGAAACATTTCTACTTAGGTATTGTTCCAAATGACTTGGTATAAAGACCAGGATCCATTGGGTAACCATGAGGAAAAGAATAGTTTAAAGTACTGTAGTTTTGTATAAAAGAAGACTTCAATAATATTCATTGAAAGAATAGACCATTAATAAACCAAATAACCTACCCTTTCTTGTATCCCAAATATGTGAGACGATGTCTGGTATCACGTCCTCAGGGTTGATGAATAAGGTGGAATGCGGTATCATGATCTTAACAGGCTGGTGGAAGACCATGTTTGGAGGGTCACATCTGATCCCGTATGCTGCCATTGATGTATCATCTTGGATGTCAACACTGGGGAGGTCTCTCACAAGGGTGAGAGTGATCTTGCAGGATTCATTCTGTTCGACAGCCCCAGGTGGGATAGACATTGCAATGCCATGATGTTCCAGTTTGAGCTCTTTACCGTCACATCCCACCTGAACAGAGACGTCGTTGATCACTGGAGGCGCCGTCTTGCCAGCTGCAAATAATGATAATCAAAGAGAGAGTGAAAATGATAAGGGTTTAAAGATAAATTTGAGTACCTTTCCATGGAATAAAACTATCCAGAAGCAATGGGGAGAGGTCGACTATGTTTAACATAAGAATCAATGAAGGTTTTGGAGTGATCAAAATGAAAAGCAAAACACTATATCTGTGTGTGGGTTTAGGGAACTGCAAAATGCAAAAACGTGGCTTAAAAGTTTGGTCCAAAATTTTAAAGTATTTCTCGTCATACTTCAAATATGAGGGCATTTGCAGAGCAATACTTTTCAGGGAATATTTCAACTATATATGTTCCCCCAAAATGACATAAAGAAAACACACACAAAACATGGGAAAGATTACAACTTATTCTTTATCTTCACCAGAACCTAACTTTCTCCTATGTGGCCACAAAATAAAAATAAAAGTCCCCTTAAGCATTATGGAAATTTAGTATAAAAACTGATCACCGCGTCATTCATTTCTCTCTTAAATATGAAATTTGTACTTCTGAAAATAAATTTGGCAATTGCCCTGAATAAAAGTTTTCTTGTTCACATCTTGTTTTCATAATGCACCCGTGTCAATAAAAAAAATTGGAAAACCTTATGAATTATATATCTATCATTACTTGTTTATGATAATCTATGTCTCATTATTTATTTATCAAAGAGTGTTACCTCGATAAGCTTTGATGATGTCCATGGCAGGAGACCTGGGAATTTATGCAAATGACAAAAAAAAATTGATATTAACTTCAGAATATTCTTGTGCAAGCAAAGGGATTTGATTAAATATTCACAGATCTTTTACCAATGGAGAAGTCCCACTTTCTGCAATTCAGGATCATCACTGCTAAAGTAATGGAGGTGATTCACAACTACTTTTTGTTTGCCCTCTTGAAAAGAATTCTTCCACCTGTGTACAATAGAATATACTGTTAGCGCATAAATGAATATTAACCACATACATTCATGAACACATATCCAGTATTGAAGTGGTTTATTATATAGTTTTACAATATCTACTCATTAGTTTATAATAAAAATTTTAAGACATGGTCAGGACAAAATGGGACATATCAAATGTATGGGACAATTAACTTTCAAGCGCTTTTTTCACACATTTTTTCAAATAAAGACTCAACTTTCTGAAGAAAATAAGCATTAGAATTTTAAACAGAATTCGGCATAATTTATATTTCCAATTGCCAAAATTTATCTGACTAAATTTCTTTAAAATATTTTCAGTGAAGTTACTGAACATTTGTGTAATCCTTTTTGTATACTAGTATTCATATTTGGTTAAATTCAATTTGAACAATTTTTAATGAATGTGTCCCCAGGTGGAATTGCCGTTTCATCCGCATAATTTAATTCAAAACCTGGTAGCAACCATATTAATACTATTGAACTCGGCTGGAAACCCAAATCCAAGTTTAAAAAAGCCACGTTAATCATTTTCATTTAAAAGAAGAGATAATAATAACCAGGCGCGTACGCAGGATTTTTTCAAGGGGGGGGGGGGGGGGGGGGTTTAACATTTATAAATCGGACCGAAAATTTCGCAACGACTCAGCCAGCCGCTGAATAAGCGGGGGGGGGGGGGGGTAAGAGGACACTTTTTTTTTTTTTTTTGGTCTCGAAATTTGAAAATTTGACATTTTGCTCCGTTGGGGGGGGGGGGTAAGGTCAGCTTTTTTAGGTCAACTATGGGAATTTTTTTTTTTTTTTTTTTTTTTTTAATAAAAAAAAAAAATAATAGAGAAATTTAGGAGGGGATTTACACACAAAAAATAACCAAAGGGGGGGGGGGGGTTTAACCCCCCCAAACACCCCCCCTGTGTACGCGCCTGATAATAACTGTATTTTATAAAGCACTTTACCATTTACAATGTACCTGACTAAAGTTGTTACAGTATGATCAACCAGTCCCTGTATTCTATAATGATTCTGCACTTTACAGTGCACTCTCCACTCCCTGGGGAGCCTTTTAGCCAGTCATACTTTTGTACTAGTGTGCGCATGCTAATCAAATCACATTGGCGTTCACATCCTGGCAGGTACACATTTAATACCTTGGTGGAGAGGGCATTGTAGATAAACATGCCTTGCCCAAGGACATGCATGTCATGCAGAAAATATAAAGAACAGACGACCTTTGGAATTCAAATTCGAGTAATTAGAATACTTGACTATGACACCGTTTCTATGACACCGTTTCTATATTTGTTCCAAATGACCATGTTAATATAATGCTTCCCTACCTTGAGAATATCATCTGGCGAATGATTTCATCCTTGGCATAGTGGACTGGTAGGTTGCCTTGGTTATCTTTGATGTCCGGCTTTGCTCCGTGGTCCAAGAGATAGAAGACCAGGGCCTTCTTGGGAGACAATTCATTCTGATAGAACTCTTCTGAGATCTAGAACAATTATCAATAGAAACGATTGTTCAAACTTCGGGAGGCCTTTATGTTTCTGAAGACTCATCCACAGGTTCATCATTCTGAACATTTGTTGTGTTTTTCCGATGGTTCGTTTGATTATAATTCTGAAATTGAAATAAGTATTATTATTATTACTCCAAAGGTTTGTCATTCCGAACATGAAATAAGGTTCGTTTTTTCAAAGTTTCAATTCTATGATACAAAATTCTTTGTCTTTTTTGCAATAATGAACTCTTTTCATTTTTTGGAATTATGAATCCTTTGTAGTTTTCATAATTATGAATCCTATCGCATTTTTCAGAAATAAGAAACTTTTTTTTAAAAGCTCTAGAGAAGCAAATGTTCATATGCTCCATTTTTGTAATTTTCCTTAAAAGACTCATTCATTGTTAAATTGCTATGCTAACTCATGTGGGAATGGCATGATTCCATTTCATAATTGTAAGTAAGCTGTAGGAAATTACTACACATCAATTTTCGGTGGAGCAAGTGTCGTACAATCCCAGAGACAGTGCGTTCTAGAGTTCATCATCTTACCTTTTGGAGTACTGGTGTGGCTTCAACTTGACTGTCCTTCCGACCGGAAAGTCTGATGGCTTCATGAAGACAAGTCTGTCCGTCGATGGACTGAATGTTGAGGTCGGCGCCATGAGAAACTAATATCTCGATGATGGAGGTGTAGCCATTTTGTGTGGCTAAATGAACTGATGTGCAGCCTTTCCCAGCACGTTGCCCAATAACCTATGTAAAAAAAAAAGCCTCCAGAATTCAGAATCTACAAAAAAAAAAATGGCTTTTTATTTTTTAAAAAGGAGAAAATTCAGGCTTTGTTGGGCATATAAGCAGTCTATTTTCTGATTTTTCATATTTAAATCACCACATAGACTTACACATACACAGATTCTAACATTTAACCAATTATTATAAAGTAAAACCTGGCTATCAAGGTCACCAATGGGAGACAAACAAAAAGTGGTCACTGTTGACAGTTGGCCTTTGTAGAGAGGTTCTCAAACACACATTTCTTTCTCGAGGGAGGCAAAATAAACTGCCACGATACAAAGGTGGCTTTCATAGACAGGTGGCCACTAAGACAGCTTTGACTTACATGTATATGTACTGGTACAAAATAGGTTTTGAGAAGTCCTCGTGGAATCATTTCAACCTTCTTCATGATTCAGACAATCTATATACCTTCACAAGAAAGTTTTAACAGGATTATTAAGGCTAAAAAATGGCTAACACTTTTCAATTTATATTGGTATGATTTTAAAACTTGCAAGAATATTGATAATCAGTATGATATTTTTTCATATGAAATCTATAGGAATACTAAATTAAATACCTTCTTCTCATCTTCTGTTAAACCCTCAGTATCTGCATGGCCAGTTGGGGAAGAAAGGTGTTTCTGCCCTTCAGCACACAACGTATCTGGACTCGTCCAATGCCCTTGGTCTTGTTCTGCAGCGAGTTGCAACGCAGTCTGACCAGGTTTACTCAGATTCACTTCAGCTCCGTGTTCTAATAGATATCTTGTGACATCGGAATGTCCATTTGCAGCAGACAAATGTAATGCAGATGATCCCTTCTTGGTAACCTTGCTTACATCTGCAAGTTGCTGAAGAAGACACTTCATGACATCGATGTGACCGTTCTGAGCTGCAATGTGCAAAGCAGTCCAACCGTCATGGTCGGTCGCATCCACATCGGCTCCGTGGCTGAGCAAGCTATTTGTGATTTCGAGATGACCATTCTGCACTCCGACATGTAGGGCTGTAGAACCTTTCTCCTTGGTGGCTCCGTTGACCTCTGCTCCTCGCCTAAGCAAATGCTCAGTAACGTCACAATGGCCAACAAATGCAGCAACGTGCAAAGGTGAGATATCATCAACGACTCCTTTGGCTACTTCAGCTCCCTGTCCAAGTAGATAATCTACAATATAAAGATGACCCATTTGAGCGGCAATGTGAAGAGCAGTCCAGCCAACATTGTTGCTTTCGTTCACGTCAGCTCCTTGACTGATCAGATACCGAACAACTGCTAAACTGCCACCTTCTACAGCATATTGTAATGATGTGCGACTAACTGTTCTGCAGCCTTGACTTACAAGAAGATCTTGAATGTCAAGATCAGATATCATACATGGCAGATGCACAATAACCATTCCACCTTGAGCTGTCTTATCCTCATCGCCATCTTGATATTTGCTTCTACCAAGATCACCTTCTGGAGCTCCTCTAAAGACAGTAAGAGAATCAATTAGTCTGCTAACTGCTTGAACTACACGACCCTGCACACATCGCACAACATCATAGTGACCATACTGTCCATCAAATTGTAAGATGACAGAGTTCGACACGCCTCTCTTATTTAGTTCAGAGCCTTGGCTAAGCAGATACTTCGTAATGCCGATCCGACGAGTAAATAAAGCATAATGCAGAGCTGTGGTTCCATTTGCGTTGCCATTATCTGCCTCAACTCCATGGCCGATTAGGGATTTTACGATATCTAAATGGCCAGAATTTGATGCAAAATGTATGGCAGTCAATCCAAGGTCATCTACTTTATTCATATCGGCCCCTTTACTGATCAGATATTCCACGACATCCAAGTTCCCTTTCTCTGAGGCACTATGCAAGGCACACCTACCAAAGGCATTGCTAGAATTCACATCAGCTCTTTGACTAAGCAAATATTTTGTCATATCAAGATGGCCATTACTTGCTGCAATATGTAAGGCTGTCCAACCAAAAGAACCGGCTTTATCCAGCTCGGCTCCTTGACTGACTTGATCTTTCATGGCATCAAGATCGCCCCTCTCTGCAGCGGTATGAAACTCCGTCCAATGAATTATATTTGATGTGGCCAGCTCAGCATGCTGACTAAGCAAGGCACTTGAAACACGAACACGACCAGCAGCTGCGGCAAGGTATAAGGCTGACCATCCTTTGTCACTAGCCTTACCAACATCAGCTCCTTGACCGATTAATTCTGTGACAACATCAAGATGTCCTCCAGCAGCAGCTAGTTTTAATGGGGACAAACCATCATTGTCATCTTTATTCACTTCAGCTCCTTGACTTATCAGACATTTGGTGACATCAAGATGACCATTCAGTGCAGCTAGCTGTAATGCAGTCTTACCGTCATTATCAACTTTATTCACCTCGGCTCCTCTACCGATCAGTTCTTGGATGAGGTCAAGTTGTCCATTCTGCGCAGCACTGTTCAGTGCACTCTGCAAATCTTCGACACGTACGGCCATCTTGTTCATTTCCCTCCTTACTGTCTCTGTGGATCAGACTTTTGGTGTTGTCTTTACGACTGACCCCCTTTTTGAAAATCTTCTTCCACATTCCTAGTGAAACCTAAGGGTCTCTCTCCTGGCTACAAGTTCATGAATTTATCAAAATCTTTTAGGGCTGTTTTAATTTTTTTCCTACATGCTGTATCTTCTCATTTTTCTGCCCCATTCCTAGTGAAAGCTAGGAGATGACAGCAGTGTATCACCTAAACACCTAGAAAAAAGGGAACATGTTTAAATTTTCGCAAATTCGGTCACTGGTGACTGGTCACTGGTGAGGTACATATTTTTTTAATTGGATGGAAGGACATATCTTGAAGTATCTCAGTCCAAAAAGACTGAGATAACCACTGACAGATTTTTAGAACTTTAGAGGGCGCTATTTATATCATGCGTGATCACTGGAGCGTGAAATTTAGCTAGGTTATGTGCATTGATAAAATTAAATACTGTAGAAGTTTGAAACAAAACGGAATTGGTATGAGAGAAGGACGGCAGTTTACGGTTTTTAGGGGTCATTTAAAGCGATGTTTGGCAGAGTCGATTTAGGATTTTAATTTTCAAGTCAATGGTCTTTGCCAGGCTGCCAATCATCTCTAAACATGTCACTCATTTGAGTCTTTTAGGAACAATCCAAAAGTCCGATCTTTCACTTTAATCATATGTGTGGTGCTGTATTGCTTTCAATAAATGTACAATGTAGAATTGTTTATTTTAGATGTGATCAAAAGTCCACAACTAGTTTTCGATTTTTATCTATATTTAGTTCTTGTTTTTTTTTGTTACGTATTCTATATTTTATAAAGCACTTTTAATTACCAGTTACAACGTAGACCACTCGACTATGACATAATTTCTACATTTCTTCCAAATGCCCATGTTGATTTAATCCTTCCCTACCTTGAAAATATTATCTGGCGAATGATTTCATCCTTGGCATAGTGGACTGGTACGTTGCCTTGTATTGTTAGACAGGTGGTCTTTGTAGACAGGTAGTCACTAAAGCAGGTTTGACTGCAATTGTATAATGTAACACAGGATTCTCTTGCAAAGCAGTTTTGATGTACTGAAGAGACCACTATGTATATATAAACTTTTGAACGAATAAAGATATATATATATATTTCTAACAACCAGTTTTTCCATCAATCAAAGGTCACATCTCACTCTCTTTTTTAGTTTATTCGGTTCGTTGGTCTCATTATAATGAATTCATGATCCCCCTTGATACGCAATACTCAATTTGGAAATTCCTTTGAAAATAAGTACAAGCATTTACTGTCCGATTATGTTTAAGTTAAATGCAATTTAGTATGTAACTGTCAATGACCTGAAATTAATAGAATATTTTGTATTCTTTGTAATGGATGTATCAACTTGTCAAGCCACATTGGCTTTTACTGATACACCCTATTTCATTTTCCAACACAATTTGCATTTAAATGTAGCTACTTTGTTTCACATTTTTAGGTCGATTTTTATAATTATGTACATTGTAAATGTTTACAACCTTGGGTTTTTCAATACTGAACTTGAAATAAAATGGATCAATCAATCAATCAATCAATCAGATGTAACAGTATTCATTGTCACTATTCCATGATAACTATTCCGATCTGTCTTTGACCTTTAATACCTATACATGACTTTAAATTACAAGATAAACATCAGAAGTGAATCCTACTCCCTTCAGAAGCTGGGAATACACCTATCATGCATCAGCATGGTACATTTGACTCAAAAGGTTTATGCAAATCGCCTAACATTGCCCAAATGTTGAAAATCACGAATCATCACCATTACAATCAACATGACCATCAACAACAACAGCAAATCTTCCCCTACGACAACTACCCCCTACGACAACTGCCCCTACCACAACTACCCCTTAATAGGGCAACTACCCTATAGGACGACTACCCCATACAACTACCCCTGCGACAACCATCCTCTAGGATACCTAATCCCCTGGACAACTATCCTAGGGGTAGTTGTCTAGGGGTAGTTGTCCTGGGGTAGTTGGCCTAGGGGGTAGTTGTCCCCCGGTATTTGTCCGGGTTAGTCATCCTAGAGGGTGGTTGCCCTAAGGGGTGGTTGTCCTAGAGAGTAGTTGACTGGGGGTGGTTATCCGGGGGTGGATGTCCAGGAGGTAGGAGTCCGGACACGGTTTATGATATATAATCAGGATAAGCGTTTCTGTAATATATACACAGATTGTATGTAACTCTCTTCCAACGAGCTTATATAGTGGCTATTGCTTGGATCAACCAAATGTAGAGGTAACGAGTAAAAAATGATAAATTTATTGTACTCACTGTTTGCCTAGATCCTGCTAAATGCGAAATGAATCGTGGAATGAGGCGTCGAGTCCTTTCCTCAGAAATATTTATCCAATTATAGCCGACTTAAAAGGACTCACACATATTCTAGTACACAGTTCAAATAAAAGGAACTGGCAACAAGTGACATGAGAGGTCTCTTCTAGAACGTGTTATATAGGTGGCTATAATGTTTCTTTCGCAAGATAAGAGGAGAGTTTGTCTATGGTTCATGAATCCGTGTGTGAAAGATGCCAAAATATGTAGTGTGTCGAAGTAAATGATCTAGAAATCAAACTAATGCAGATTCTATTTGCAGAAATGTGCTTCGTTCCATCAGATTTCCATGTAGAAGTGATGGATAACCAGTATGAAATGAAAGACAGGCTACGTGAGTCTGTATTTCAACGTCTGTTGACATGGCATTGAGCAGGTACCCAGTGCAATGAGTCAGTTACATCATGTGCTCCAAAAAACGAAACCAGAGGCAAATACAAATAACTAGAGCTAATAAACCAAACAAAAGAATACATATCTCTTGCTCAGTGAGTCGGTCCTGATGGGCATTGTGACGCAAATAGTATCGTGTGATAAAGTGGACTGGGCATTCTGAACAACAAGTGGAAACCTTAGTCTGTTCCCAGACAGAGAATAAACTACTTTAAATGACGATGGGAGGGGGGGGGGACTTCAATATATATCAATTGCCATTGCATCTGAGTACTTTTCCCGAAATTCAATTACTTAAATCTACTACACTAGCGAATCTAGACAAGTCAAGAAAATGCCAGCATTTGGTTTCCCAGTAACTATTTGATTATGTTTTGAATCTTTACAAACGAGTTTCGTTTTAGTATGATTTGTATACATGTGTTTATTTATTAGTACCTAAATCTCAGGGAATTTATGCTAAAATTAGTAACATAAGAATCAACGATAATTGCCCTACAATATTTGAGAAAACCTTCATGAAATTCGAATGGAGCAGAAACAAAAGTATCGAAGCGCAATGAGGCCTTACTTTGTCTCTTCTTTGTCATTTTTGTTTCTAGCCAAGGTGGCTGTGAGTGTTCGTGAAGGGGAACGCATTGCTGTGGTGTGTGTGTGTGTGTGTGTGTATGTGTTATTTTGGATGTGTGAGGTGGTGCTTTGCTTGGGGTTGGGCAGTAAGGGAGGGGGGGTTATAATTTGTTTCATATTAAAACTGATTTCATTCCACACATACAAACGATCGTGATTTGTGAATTGTACACGTAATAGAATTATGTTATTATGGTGAAAAAGAATTATATTTTGAAGAATTATTTGTATTGGTCTAGTATTGAATGAAAATAAGAATACAAATTACGGAAAAGCAAAAAAAAAAGAGAAGGTGTGGGTGGGTGCGTGGGTAGTTTGTACAGGAATGTTGTTTGCTCTTCCAAACACACCAAGCAAACAATCAGCGAATCCAGACGTCCTTTTGACATTCTTTTCAAGATGGAGATTCCTGCAAAACTTATTATTTATATTAGTATACCAATGATAATGTGGGTAATTATTTTCTTGACTTGTATCATGAGTGTGAATCAAATTAAGATAGTGCTTAAAATAGATCATTGGTATGAACGTCATGGTCCTATTGACCACGTTGACGTGAAAGAGGGATTATTTTGATATTCTTAAAAATGACTATAGGCAAGAGATAACTGTCATTATTACATCATGTAGGAAGGAGGCTCTCTATGTTAAGTTGAAGACAAAATCATCACCCGACATTTGACAATTCTACAATTAACCTTGCTTGCAGAACTTTCTTCTCTAAATTAAAAACATTGTGTTATGGAACTGATTGTGTGTGAAGTTTTGTTTGTTGTTCTTCTTCTTATTTTATACTATGTAAATGTTATAGGCCCGAATTCACAAAGGAGGTTTGTCGACAAACCGAGGTTTATGTATGTCATATGACGCGTTTTGACGCGTTTTTTACAAACCTGGTTTGTAAATAACAAAAGGAGGTTTGTCGAAACAAAAGAAGGTTTGTCGACAAACCTCCTTTGTGAATTCGGGCCTATGGGTTTACTCATCGACCCTGGATCTTTTTTAACAGAGAGATAGAGATAGACAAAAGAGTGGCTTTGCCTGGAAACCACACACATCTATCATGCCTCAGTATCGTAGGTGAATAAGATATTTCATCCGGCCGGGCTTGTAACAAGGGTAACAGAATACAGAAAATCACATTTGAAAGGAACTTTCTGAAAGGAAACGTACCTCGATTAAAATCATTTGTAATGATTTTCACGCTGGTAGGTTTTCATGACAAACAAATCATTTTATGAAAACTGATTTTAACCTTGAGGAGTGTGGGTGCCTAGAAGCTCAAAAACATGCTTGTCGAAAGGATTCTTTAGAGTAAATTTACAATTGAAAACTATTTGAAGTGTAAGCATGGCCCAATTTGAGTATTACTTCGTTCCGCTTTGATACAGACATTCCCCGCCAAAATAATATACGAGAAAACTCAGACAGACATAATGAAGTAAAAATGGAAACAATGTTTATAACACTTTGATTGATTGATTGATTGATTCTATTTCATTTCATGTAACAATTGCTTGCACAATAAAGAACATAATTGACAAAGTAAGATCAAAATTATGA